GTTGGGGGGAGAGGTCAGGGCCAGCCTGGGCAAGGGATTCTAGTGTTCTGGTCTCTGGTCGGTCCAGCATTATGGTTGCTGGCTTTTTATATGTAGGTGGTACATTTCTTGACTTCAGGGAGCCCACTTTGTACATTACTATAAGTGTTTTCAACAGTGTTTTCACTGATGTCCTTTTTCTCTCCTAAGATGCAACTCAGGGTACCACATTGCATTTAGCAGGGCCTATTTTTTTTTAAAATATATTTTATTTATTTTTTACAGAGAGGAGGAGCGAGGGATAGAGAGCTAGAAATGTCAATGAGAGAGAAACATCGACCAGCTGCCTCTTGCACCCCCCCCACCCCCGAACTGGGGATGTGCCCGCAACCAATGTACATGCCCTTGGCCGGAATCGAACCTGGGACCCTTCAGTCCACAGACCGACACTCTACCACTGAGCCAAACGGGCTTCTGCTAGCAGGGCCTATCTTGAGCTTAGGAGGGGACTTGTTAAGATACTACTTACTTTTAACTAGTGAGAGAAGCCAAGAGAGATTTCTTGGGGAGAATTGTGGACCTTGCTTTGGGTCTGAGTTTATGGTGCCTAGACTGACATGCAACATCTGCCATGAGCACAGATTTAGCAAGTAGCTCTATCCACATCCTGTATTTGTCGGATACAAACTTCATGCATGGCCTGAAGCTCCTTAAAGCCACATTGTTCTACGTAATTGTTTTATTTGCGGAACAAGGACCAAGAAATCTTGGGAAACAAGAGGCAGTTGAGTGACATGTTTAAGAAAAAAATTGTATCAGTGTAGCAAAAGGTTGCAGGGTTGATCCTCAGTGGGGACACATACAGAAGGCAACCAATCAATGTTCTCTCTCACATCAATGTGTCTCTCTCTCTCTCTCTCTCTCTCTCTCTCTCTCTCTCTCTCTCTCTCTCCCTAAAAATCAATAAGCATATTTTTGGATGAGGATTAAAAATAATAACAATAAAAGAAAAAGGACTGTAACATAGCTCACTTTGCTGGACAACCATAGGAAAGCCACTCATCCCATGGTTCAGTTTCCATATCTATAAAAGGAAAGATAATAAAAACACCTTATTTTTGTAAGTAATGAACAAGTTAGTAAATCCTAAGTGGGATGAGACTGTCTAGAAGTCTAGGACACAATTGCAGTGAGTGTTAGTTATCATTTTTAAGAGTAAGAAACTAAGGAGGGGCAGTGGATAAAAAGCTACTGGAGACAGATTCAGAGTGATGCTGATGGCTTCCTAAAAAAGTTGCCCCCAAACACTCCCGTTTCTTCTGAACTGAAACCTGAGAGAGGGGATTGGCTTCCAGGAAGCACTTGAGTATTGGACTTGAGGGAAGATGACCATCTCAGAAATAGGAGAGAGGTGAGGTCCTAGCAGTCCTCCAGGTACTCAGGATAAGAGATGTTCTGGGCCTCCAAGGGATTGTGGCCATGTCTCCCAGTGAGGCATGAATAGTCTAGCTTCGGTCAGTTGGCTGTGAGCAGAAGTTACACATGTTATCTCTGTGCAGACATTATCATCTCATGTTTCCACTATGGCTTTCCCCCTCTTTACCATGAGGATAGCATGTCCCACGTGAGGCTTCCCTTCAACCTGGATCACATACTGAAGATGATATGTGAGCAGAGATGCAATAAACCTTACAAAACCTAAAGAGAGTAGGGTGCTAACGTTAGGGGAAGCTCTGCAAGGGTTAATAAAAACCCTTTATATTATTTTTTGCAACTTCACTAATCATTAGAGAAAGGAAATTGAAATGGGATATCCCTTCATATCTATCAGGATGGCTACTATTTGAAAAAAAGTGTTAGTGAGGTTGTGAAGAAACTGACACCCACGTGCCCTGTTGATAGGATGCAAAATAGTGCAGCCACTATGGAAACAAGTCTGGCAGTTCCTCAAAAATTAAAAATAGGATTACCACATGATCTAGCAATCCCACTTCTGGGTAAAGATGAAAAAGAACTGAAAGTAGGATCTCGAAGATATATGTGCACATTCGTGTCCATGGCAACATTATTCACAATAGCCAAAAGGTGGAAGCAATCTGGTGTCCACTGAGGAATGGATGGATGAGCAAACTGTGGTGCAGTCACATAATGGGATGTTTTTTAGCCTTTACAAGGAAAGGAAATTCTGTCCCGTGCTATACGATGGATAACACTTGAGGGCATTATGCTAAGTGATGTAAGGTAGCAACAAAAAGAGAAATATGGTATAACTCAACGTACAGAAACAGAAAATAGAATGATGGTTGCCAGGGGCTGTGAAGAGGGGAACATGGAGAGTTGTTGTTCAATGGTTCAGTTTGCAAGATGAAACCGTTTTGAGATCTATTGTACAACAGTGTTAAAATACTGCACATTACCGAACTGTACACTTAAACATAGTAAACAGGATCAATTTTATGTTATGTGGTTTTTTTTTAACCACAGTTTTTTAAAACACAATTTTTAAAAAAAAGTTTTTTTTTTAAAAAAATTAATTTCAGAGAGGAAGTAATGGATGAGTTAGTAAATTATAAGTGGGATGAGAGGAAGAGAGAGATAGAAATATTAATGATGAAAATCACTGATTGGCTGCCTTCTGCATGCCCCCTACTGGGGATCGAGCCCTCAGGCATGTGCCCTGACTGGGAATGAACCCTAACTTCCTGATTCATAGGTTGATGCTCAACCATTGAGTCATATGGGCTGGGCAAAGCTTACACAGTTTTAAAAAAGGAGATAAGGCCATATAGGAGTAAATTTTATAGCTTCCAACTAAAAAATGATAGTACTTTAAAAAAGTGGACAATTTATCCCCAACACACCCAGGTGCCTGGTGGAATAGGAACAAGAGAATTACTATTATTACCCTCACTGCAGGTCAGCCAGCAGCAACTGACTACAGCAGTTCTGAAATACTTCTCTGTAAATTCCCAGGCCGGGGGCTCTGATCCTGCTCTCAGGAGGAGCTCCCTTGTCCAGGGCCCCTAGATCAACCTTCAGCCCAGCTCCTCCTCATCCATCGCTTCTCTTGAGTAACTCTGGACACAGCTTTGTGGGCGTGGCCTTCTTTGATGGCTGTCGTTGCTTGTCTCTTGTTCATGGAAGGTTCAAACATTATTCTCCAGGTAGAACAGTTAAAGTCTTCTTCAGTCTTTGCTTCCAACATACTTGGCAACATAATGCCCCCAACAAATGACAGCTGGGACTCTCCTGATACATTGAAGTCCCATTCTTTGTGTAGTGCTTGATTCTCTCAGAGGCTGAATGGGAGTGCAATACTCTAACCTAGACGTTAGGCCCTAACGGTTAGGGGCACATTCAGATAAAAAGGCCCATCCATGGAAATGGATGATTCTGGCCTCGTGGGTGCAGATGGGGGGATACCAATGGGGTGAAGGACAATCTAGTTTCAGGGAAGCTGACTCCTTAAAACGTGGGTTGAGGAAGGGGCTTCGGTACCTGAGATCACAGGACCGCCTCCTCCATCTACCACACTCAACATTTCACCTGCCCACCTCTTTCTTTTCCCCAAGGCTGACTCTGGCTCCATAGTCAGGTCCTCGTCACCTCCTGCCAGGACCATGGCAGAAGCCTCTCTCTTGTCCCTGTCTCTCCAGGTGTGCATGAAGCCACTAAGTTCCATTTCCTGAAACTCACCTCGGGACCTCAGTTTAGTCCCTCTTAAAAAAAAATCATATTAATTTAATTTTATTTTTTAATCCTCACCTGAGGATATTTTTCCATTGATTCCCAATCAGGGCCCAGGCCTGGGAGGAGCCTGCAACCAAGATATGTGCCCTTGACTGGAATTGAACCTGGAATCCTTTTGTCCACAGGCTGATGCTCTTGTCCACTGAGCCAAACTGGCTAGGGCAGTTTTCTCCCTCTTTGATGTACCAGCCATCATTTTTTTTTTTTTAACCTCTAGGTATTTGCTTATACTCTTCCTTCTTTTCTTAACAATCTTGTAATTTTTAAAGAAGAAAATCCCCACTTCTCATTCATCAAGGATAAATTCAAGTCTTAGCCTCTTTATGAAATTCTAATCTAACTATTTTACTGACAGTCATTAAGTCTACCCCTGATTTTCCAAAGTCTGCAGTGTATGTATTACTCTAAGTTGGAGAATTAATTGAATGGGGAAAGATTGGGGGTAGTTGCAATTGATTAGGGGAGATATTGGGGGGTGGCTCAGGGACTCTAAGAAAAGAAAGGGGGTGGGGGGAGGACTCCTGCTAAAGGAGTCACAAGGGTAGTTGGGACCTGGGCAGACGGTGTTGGGGCCGGAATGGCAGGGGTAGAATGCCTGATTGAGTCTTGCCCTAAAGGTTTCTGTCTAGGCACTCAGATGAGCCCCCCAGAGGGAAAGACCAAGGCAATCCACGTCCTCATTCCTTCAAAACATGAGCCCTGTCCTCTGAAGCCTTGCCCCTCCCTCCTCATCAAGCAAATACTCAGCTTTTTAGCTTCCTTCAAGAAAACACCAAAAGTCAGGTTTTGTACAAAAAATATATATATTGCTTCAGAGTAATTATTACATCTCCATAATAATGTTTTTAGCAATGTCTTAGAATTTAAGACAACATGTGTTTATATTCATGATTGTTGCAAGGACTCTCATGCCACTTCAGGGGTGGAATTGCAGTGCAGCCCCTCTGAGGGAAGCAATTTAGACAAAGGTCTCCATGTCTAACAAACACCAGTGCCCATGGGAGAGAAACTTAAAACATCAAAATCTTTTTTTTTTTTAAATATATTTTATTGATTTTTTACAGAGAGGAAGGGAGAGGAGAAAGATAGAGAGTTAGAAACATCAATGAGAGAGAGACATCAACCAGCTGCCTCCTGTACACCCCCCACCGGGTATGTGCCCACAACCAAAGTACATGCCCTTGACAGGAATCCAACCTGGGATCTTTCAGTCCACAGACCAACGCTCTATACACTGACCAAATTGGTTTCGGCAAAACATCAATATCTTCAATGAGGTTAGCATTACTTAAGACATCATGTTTCATATCAATAAACAAAGCTCATATTCTTTGAAAATACAAGAAAATAATATCGGAGGGCATTTAGGGACAGTTAGGAGGAAATCAATTAGGATTAGATTCTTGGGTTGTGGAGTGGGCATCAAGGCATTGGAGTTTGGGTTTTCTTGTCTAGGATCTTCATGGAATACTGGACCCACTTCTGCTGGGGGTCAGCACAGATATCCTTGTTCAGTTTGGTCTTGAAGCTGTGGGGAGAGAGGGCACAGTTAGATGCAGTTCCATTGAAGTGTCAGCCTAGCCTTGCAGCTCAGTTGTCTCTAAGTAGCTGCCCTGGAACTAATTAGAAGAGGGAGGAGGGAACCCAGGGCAAGCTTCTCCCCTGGCGGACCCAGGTGAAGCCATCCTGACTTCTGACTGAAGACACTGGCATGGTCGGAATAAGCACCGGGGTGAAGAGTAATGCTGAGAGTCAGGTTTTCCCTCCTGATCTCAGGATTCCCACTGGGCCCCTCCAGGGACTGGATTAGATGGTTCCCTCTCTGACTCTAAGGTTTGAGGCTCCCTTTTCCTGGGGAAGAACTGGACCAGGGAGGGCTGGGGCTCAACTCACATCACAGCCTCTCTGGGGCACTGGCTGTTGGCGAGTCTCTTGTAGCTTGCCAGCTTTGGCAACGGGATCTTCTTGTTGGTGAATGCAAAGCAGCAGATGGTTAGGGAAGTGACTCTATCTGGAGAAGGACCTACAAAGAGAAAGCATTTTAGGATGAACTTGACTCTTTTTATCTTAATCGGAGCAGAAAAGAAGTAGTTAGGAGAAGGCGAAGGGAAATCAGGAGTAGAGGTAGAACCCACTTGATTCCAATACTTCTGCGGATCCTGCAGAGCTAGGATGTCACACTCAGTTTCCTGTGCTGTGACATGGGCATAGAGCACTGCTACTAGAGGGCAAGGGAGCTGCTAAAATGACCTAATTCCCAGGAGTGTCACTAGGAGGAGCTAAGAATGCAGACACTAGTGGTCAGGGAAGGTCAGGGACCCCACGATGGGTCCCCCTTTAGGCTCCACGTAACCTATGCCTGGCCATGAGTCTCCTGATGCCCAGTGCCTCTTGCTGAGCCGTGTCTCAGGAAGCTGGGCTGAATGAAGCACAGTCCAGATGCTGGGGCTCTTCCGCTCCCCTTCACTGTACCTTCACACCCACCACATGAGGCCCCTCTCTGCGATCACCCAGCTCCCCAAATAGTGCTGAAAGGAGCTGAGGCGGTGACTACAGTGTGTGTGTGTGTGTGTGTGTTTCCACAGCTGGAGTCCTGAAAGGGGCTGGATTTAGGTTCCACAGCTGGATTTCTCACCCTGCCTCTGCCCAGGAGCACCTGTGCGACCAGGCTCATGCCTTGTCCTTCTCACAGTTTCCTGACCTTGTTGTTAAAGTGAGGCTGGGGATCCCCCTTCTGCTCTCATGGGCCATGATCACCCAGAGATGCGGTGATGTGCTTCCTAGGGAAGGAGGGAGGGCACTTACCTGGCTGAGCGAGCACCTGGGTGGTGAGAGCGGCCATGGTGAGCAGCAGGCACAGGAGGGCTGCGGAGACCTTCATGGTGGAGAGTGAGGAGATGAGCTTCAAGGAGAGAGTGGCTGGAGAGATAGTGGCTGGTGTCTGAGCCTGTGAGTCTCTGTGCTGTTCTGGCTGCTCTGCATTCCTTTTATTGGGACCAGGAGTGGGTGGAGTAACCTGAACTCTGAATTGTGCTGAGCCAGTGAGCAGCCAGGGTGATTTCCAGGAAGGAGGGAGGAAGCAGTGGGGTTTTGGACTCGGGCACTTTTGGGAGGAAAAGGGGGTGTATGGGGCACAGTTATATTCAAAGTGACCATAGACAGGAACCAAATGGGTTATTCTTAAGAATTCTGCTTTCTCTGAAGTGAAAACTCTGCAGAAAATAACAGAAGCAAGGAAGCAGAAGATAAGGAGGAAGGACAGCATGTGTGGCTCTCCCTGGCCCACCCTGTACTCTTTTGCCTGGTCCCTAGCCGTGGTAGTCTGAATAATAACCCCTTCCCAAGAAGGCCCAAGTCCTATCCCTGGAAGCTATGATATGTTACCTGACATGGTAAAGTGACCTTTGCAGATATAATTCATTTAAGGATCTTGAGATGCTGAGATTGTCCTGGATTATCCAGACAGGCCCAATATAATCACAAATGTTCTTTTTTAATTTTTTATTTTTTAAATAAATCTTTATTCTTCAGATTAATACAATCGTTCCTCTTTTTTCCCTCCATTGCTTCCCTCTACCAGGTTCCTACCCCACCCTCTGCCCTTTCCTCACTTCCCACTGTCCTCATCCATCCGTGCACAGTTTTTGTTCAGTCTCTTCCTGCCCCTCCACTCCCCTTTTCCCCGAGAATCATCACTCCACTTCTTTACTATACCTCTGATTATATTATATTTACCGGTTAATACTGTTCATCAGATTTTTTAATTCCCTTGATTTTTAGATTCACTTGTTGATAGTTACATATTTGTTATTCATAATTTTTATCTTTATCTTCTTCTTCTTCTTCTTACAGAATACTTTTCAGCATTTCATATAATTCTGGTTTGGCAGTGATGAACTCCTTTATATGTATATTTTTAATTTGTGAAGTTCTTTATCTGGCCTTCAATTCTGAGTGGTAGCTTTGCTGGTGGAGTAATCTTTGTTGTAGGTTCTTGCTCTTCATCACTTTGAATATTTCTTGCCATTCTCATCTGGCCTGCATAGTTTCTGTTGAGAAATCAGCTGACAATTGTATGGGTGTTCCTTTATAGGTAACTAACTGCTTTTCTCTTGCTGCTTTTAATATGCTCTCTTTGTCTTTTGCTTTTGGCATTTTAATTATGATGTGTCTTGATGTGGTTCTCTTTGGATTCCTTTTGTTTGGTGTTCTGTGTGCTTCCTGGATTTGTAAGTCTATTTCTTTCACCAGGTGGGGGAAGTTTTCTGTCACATTTCTTCCAATAGATTTTCAGTATTTTGCTCTCTCTCTCTTCTTCTGGGACCCACATAATTCTGATTTGCTTGAAGTTGTCCCAAAGGCTTTTTACACTATCTTCAACTTTCTGGATTCTCTTCTCTTCTTGCTTCTGCAGAGGAGTGTCCTCTGGCTCTTTGTGTTCCAAATCTTTGACTTGATTCTTGCAAACTTCCCATCTGTTTTAAGGACTTTGTATAATATTTTTTTATTTTTGTCAGTGTATGCTTTATTTCTAGTTGACCCCTTTTCATATCCTCAAAGGTCTTGTTTATTTTATCGGCCTTTTCTAGGAAATTCTTGAAAAACCTTATAACTGTGGTTTTGAACTCTATGTCCATTCTTTTGCTTTCCTCCATTTCCTTCCTTTGTGGCCTGCCTCTTCCCTGCATTTTAGCTGCTTCCCTGAGTTGATGGAGTAGCTTTGTGTGCTAGGTGTCCGTGCAGGGCCAAGTAGCTCAGCTTTCCCAGTTACCTGAAGTGTATAGTCTTGGAGAAGCCCTTTGTGGGCTGTGTGTGCAGTCTTGTTGTTAAACCTTGCTTGTTGTTGGTATTACTGGGGAGAGTTGATCTCCAAGCCAATTGGTTGTGAGGATCAGCAGTGTCTCAGCTAGGACGACTTCTGTGCTCAGCTTGGATGGGGCAGAGTCTCAGAGTGGCACAGACAAGCTTTGGTTTCCCGCCAAATCTGCCTTAAGAGGGTCCTATTTGCTGAGTCCCACAACACTGGCTGCTGGCGTGTGCACCACTTGGGGGAAGGCTATTCTCGAGTTTTGCCTGCTCCCTGACATTCATTTTCTTCCCGGATCAGAGTTGACTATCAGTGCTGTTGGGAGGTTTTGTTTTTCTCCAGATTGAGAAAGCTAGCCACTGGGAGGTCTTCTGCGCTCATCTTGGGTGGAGTCTTGGGTTGGCGCAGACAAGCTTTGATTTCCTGTCAGCCCCGCCCTAAGAGGGTCGTGTTCCTGTGTCCCACAGTAATGGCTGCTAGCCTCATGCACCTGTGAGAGAGTTTTGCCCACTGCCTGACAATCCAATTTCTTCTTGACTGGAGCTGGCTATCAGTGCAATATGGAGTTTTTATTTTTTATTTATTTTTAAAAATATATTTTATTGATTTTTTACAGAGAGGAAGAGAGAGAAGGATAGAGAGTTAGAAACATCGATAAGAGAGAATCACCAATCAGCTGCCTCTTGCACACCCCCTACTGGGGATGTGTCCGCAACCAAGGTCCATGCCCTTGACCAGAAACGAAACCAGGACCTTTCAGTCCGCAGGCCAAAGCTCTATCCACTGAGCAAAACGAGTTTCGGCTCAATAGGGAGGTTTTGTTTTCCTCCTGAACAAGAAAACTAGCTGCAAGTTAGTTGCCCACCCTCTCCGAGCGTGGCGCGAGTAAGCCAGCAGCGTATTTGGCGGCCACCCTTTCTGCGAGCACAGATCTCCGCACCTCCACAGCTCCTGAGGGTCTGCATCCTTTCTCTTCCCTTCCTAGATGTTAGAGCTTCCACTCAGCCAGCCTTCTGGTGGTTCAGGGCGATGTTTGCTCTGTTTTCCAGTTGTAATTTTAAAATTGTTGTGGTAGGCTGCATTTAGGTGTTTACCTTATCCCACCATCTTGGTTTCTCCGCCCACAAATGTTCTTATAAGATGGAGGAAGGATAGTAAGAATCAGAGACCAGATGTGATGATAGAAGTAGAGGAGAGAGAGAGACAGACATGGAAAGGGAGAGAGAGAAATGGGGGGATTTAATGAAGCTTTGAAGATGGAGGAAGAGGGCTATGAGCTAAGGAATACAGGAAGCTCCTATAAATTGGAAAAGGAAAAAAAAAAAAAAAAGAATTTTGCTTTAGAGCCTCCAGAAAGACTTCTGACTTCCAGAATTTAAGATAATATATTTGTGTTGCTTTAAGACATTAATTTGATAATAACCTGTTATAGTTACAATAAAAAAAACGAAGAAGAATTGTATAACTATAATAGGGTGCTGCTGTAACAAATAGTAAAAATGTAGAAGTGGCTTTGGAATTTGACAATGAGCTGAGGCTGGAAGACGTTTTAGCATGATAGAAAAAGCCCAGATTTCCTGGAATAGGCTGCTGGCAATGAAGGAAATAAATGCATCTCTACTTAACATCCTCTCGTCAAGCTGGGCCTGTGGCCAATGCTTTGTGCCCACATTTCATCATGCAAGGAGTAAGGAATCCCAGGCTGAGCTGGATTCCAAATTTCTTCAAAATAAATAGACGTGACTTGAAAAGGGAGTGTGAACAGATTATTTGGGAGTTTTAACACAGAGCCACCCTTCGCTTGGCCTCCCCTCCTTCCAGACCCCACACCTCACCTGCCTGGCATTAGAGGGCCCATTGGTTCGCACTCCACTCCCTTTGCCTCTTGGCATTCGCTGCAATTAGAGGTTGACTCATGACCGGGGACTAAGGCCATAGACTGCAGGAGAGGGAGAGAGGCAGGGAGGGGTTGGACCTGGCATGAGGGGCAGTGAGTGCCATACACCGCTGCCGGGAAATTGTCTGCTGACTGAGGTATCAGGGCAGTTTAGACAGTGTGACTTGGAGCTATGGTGGAATCACCTCTCTTCTCTCCAGCTCCAGCTGGTTGAAATGGAAGTTTTCTGAGAGACACACTCCCAGATCTTAACATCTAGGGCCCATGGGGCTCCCCTATTGATAACACTAGGCTAGCCTCACTTTATCTATGGAGACTCAGAACACCCAGTTTGCTGGGTCAGTGCCAGTTCCTTAATTAAAGCCCCCATGTCCTTCGTCCAGCCAGGGTCTCCTAGCACCTCAGGCTGCCAGAGGCAGTGCCTGGTTTGTCTGGGCCCAGCAGCCATCTCCCCATCAGTTTGGGAAGGTCAGTAACATGCGAAATGCATTCGCTTGGGTAAGATAGCGGCTTTCTTAGAGCAGGGTCTGTCTGTGTTCCTGTGGATCAGACAGATACCTCCCGAGGAGGTCAGATACCTCCTGAGTAGGTCAGACACGATGCAAGGGAACACAGACTTGATGGGCACATTAGGATAAAAAGGCCCATCCGTGGAAATGGATGATTCTGGCCTCCTGGGTGAGGATGGGGGGATAGTGATTGGGAGAAGGACATTCTGGTTTCAGGGAAGTTGACTCCTTCAAATGTGTGTTGAGATAGGGGCTTCTGTATCTTAGGTCACAGGTCTGCCTCCTCCATCTACCACAATCAACATTTCACCTGCCCACCTCTTTCTTTTCCAAGGCTGACTCTGGCTCCATAGTCAGGTCCTCGTCACTTCCTGCTAGGATCATGGCAGAAGCCTCTCCCTTGTCCCTGACTCTCCAGATGTGCATGAAGCCACTAAGTTCCATTTCCTGAAATTCATCTGGTGACCTCAGAACCTGGGACCTCCAACTCTGGCCTGTCCTTCTTCAGTGGAGCGAATGTTTTCAACATCTTTTAACTTATGAAGTGGAGCACTAATTAACCACTTTGAAATTCACAGTCCTTTACGCAACCTTCCTTTTCAAACATCCCTCTCACCTGACCCAGAATGGACCCCAATGGAAATCTGATCAGTTTAGTTCCTCTTTAAAAATAAATAAATATTTATTTAAATTTAATCCTCACCTGAGGGTATTTTTCCATTGATTTCTGATCAGGGGCCTAGCCTGGGAGGAGCCTGCAACCAAGGTATGTGTC